TCTCTCTGACTTAGGTTTCAAGTTCGATTTCACACCATGTCAGTGGAATGGACGGCGCATCTATTCCTATGAAAGATAGCGACACCATGAAGAAGAAAACTTTTCATTCCTGATCCTCCGCTGTTGATGACAGTGCAGGTCGTCTCAAGAAGATTCTTGATGCGAAATAGAACAAGCTGACTTAAGGCAGGTTTGCCAAAGTCAAGATCAGTTAAAACGGAAGAGAGAAGGAACACTTCATCCTTACTGACGAAGTACTCTGACCTATTCGATGGTACTTTGGAAAGTGGCAGATGGACGACTACGAAGTAGAACTTCTCCCTGATGCTAAACCCTATCATGCAAGGGCTTACCCTATTCCACGGGTCCATACCAAACTCTTAAGATGGGTTGAACGTCTCTGCGAGGCAGGAGTCTCAAGAAAGTAAACCGTTCCGAGTGGGCGGCACCAACTTTCTCATTCCCAAGAAAGACGGATCTGTACGATTCATCTCTGATTTCCGGGAACTGAACAAAGAGTTAAGCGGAAGCCTTATCCTACCCAAAAATACAGGACATGCTCTTGAACAGAGGATTCAAGTACGCTACTAGTCTAGACCTGAACATGATACTATCACATCGAGCTGTCACCTCACTCGAAGCAACTCTGACCATCGTACTCCCGTGGGAAAGTACGAGTACCAGAGGTTGCCAATGGGGCTATGTAATAGTCCCGACATCTTCCAAGAGAAGATGGGAACACTAATGCACACCTAATACGTCCTGGCATACATTGATGATCTACTCATCCTAACTAACGGGATCTAGCGATCACGTTGAAAGTTGGATGAAGTCTCCGAAGGCTTCGAGAACGGGACTAAGATCAATGCTACAAGTCCTTCTTCGCAAGAGGAGACTTGATACCTAGGTTACTGGATACTCGGAAGGGATCCAACCTATAAACAAGAAAATAGACGCGATACAGAATATCGCTCCTCCTACCAACAGGAAGAACCCGTAGATTCATTGGACTAGTGAACTACTATCGGACATGTGGATTAGACGATCCATGTACTGGCCCACTCCTTCGTTGACTTCCAAAACAACGAAGTGGAAATGGGAAGCCGAACACGACAAGGCCTTTAGCCAGATGAAGAAGATCATCAGCAAAGAAACCTTGCTCGCCTACCCTGACTTCAACGATACATTCGTTATCCACACGGATGCGAGTGATACTCAACTAGGTGCGGTAATTTCCCAGAAGGGAAAACCATCGCGTTCTACAGCAGGAAGCTAACCCTGCTCAGACACGTTACACAGTTACCGAGAAGAACTTTCAGTATCGTAGAAACTCTAAAGAGTTCCGTAAATTCTTCTAGGACAGAAGATCTGTACATACGGACCACAAAAATTTACATGTAAAACTTCAATACCGATCGCGTATATGCGATGGCGCCTTTTTCTGGAAGAATACGGCCTGAACTACGGTACATCAAGGGCGAACAGAACATCGTCGCTGATGCGTTGTCGAGACTTAACATCTCCAACAACGACGGTTCTTCAGAACAGTGGACGCCAGCGAGATCGTGAACTCATGGCTGCAGACGAAGAGACTTCCCTAGCGGTTCCCTCTCTCGTTCCCCGAGATCGAACATCGTCAGAAAGACACAACGATATCAAGAAGCTCTCAGGGACAAGCCAAACGACTCAAGAAGCAATCTTTCCCCAGAGGGGATAAGTCCTACGACTTAGTAGTTAAGGACGAAATCGTCGTACCTAAAACTATGCAGAAGAAGCTAGTTGAATGGTACCATGGTGTGCTGATGCATCCTGCGAGAATCGCACGAACTAACATCAGCCAACACTACACCGGAAAGGCTGCGCAGACTGTGCAGCCGTATGTCAGCGTTGCCAAAGCTGCCAGATGAACAAACCCAAGACGCGTAAGCTGGGATTGATGCCTCCCAAGACTTGCGAGAGATCCCTTGGGAAAGACTATGTATTGACCTGATAGGTCTTACAACGTCGGGGATCCTAAGAAAAAGAATTCCTGCACACTTCATTGCTTGACAATGATTGATCCCGTAACCGGATGGTTCGAGATTGCAGAGATCTGCTCCAAGGCAGCAGACGAAGTAGCCATCGTCCTAGAACAAACGTGGCTTACTCGGTATCCATGGCCTGCTGAGGTTATCATGGATAGAGGACGCGAGTTCCGCGCAGAGGTCGAAAAGACACTCCGGGATGAATATGGACTTCGTCGCAAGTTCATCACTACGCGTAACCCTCAAGCCAACTCTATGGTCGAGCGTGCTCATCAAACCATACGTAACTTGATCGCTGTTCAAAACATCAAGTGCCAAGACGACCTCGTGAATGGATCCTGGGATGGAGTCCTCACGGCGGTTCGCTTTGCAATGAATGCCACGATTCATACCACCTTGCGCGCAACGCCCGCACAGCTCGTGTTCAATCGTGACGCGATTCACAACGTCCGGTTCGAAGCCAACTGGAAGTACATTAAGGAACGTCGCCAACGACTAATCCAACAAAACAACGATAGGGAAAACGCGACGCGTGTCCCTCATCAATACAATGTCAACGATACCGTGATGATTCAACAGTATCAGCACCGCAAGTACGGTCAGCCAAAGTACAAAGGTCCTTACACTATAGACCGAGTCAATGACAATGGCACTGTACGGCTCCGACATGCTACCGCCAATGGCGGCACAGTCTACCAGACTTGGAACATAAGGTATATACACCCATACAAGGCCTGATCCCCTTGTAGGATTGCCATCGTGCGATGCACATGTCTACATCCAAATCTCATGAGAGTGCCCCGCACTTTAAATCATATGTTCTCCTTGTCCGACTGCTGTCGCGCCTTCTGTGACCCTTTTAGGGGGCGAATGCAATACACGGCTCTTAGCCTTATTCGCGACTCGATCCTAGATAGGGTTTGAGTTCGACTCATGACTGAGTCTCTCGTGAATAGTCATTTGAGACAGGGTTCTCAATGACCGCTCTAGTCATACTAGGTTGATGATGAAACATCGCTCTAGATATTTAGCCAGCGTGGAGTACTTCCACGCTACTAGATCCAGGCTAGACAAACCTTCCACGCGTTCCGTTTTAGGATCGTGGAGAGACGTAGGATTACTACCGCAACCTACTCTATCACACTTTATAGTCTCCCGCGGGAGGCCAGATCTACGATCCCTTGATGATGATCTCTCTCGTTGATTAGTTTTCATAGCTTTCTAATCTCTCTCATAACTTTCATTCTCTCAAACTCAAAACACTCGAAAGATCTTTATACTAGCTTTTAGCGTAGTGCAAAAGGAAGTGTTTTGAATATTACTGCTGCCATCAAGCAGGATGCCATTATGGGCAGTCTGCATGAGGATCTTTGTATTGTTCGTGCTCAGTAAAGTTGACCTTAGTTTAATCAGCATGGTAGCCATGCCTTATAGTGAGTCTGTTACATGAGGACTTGTGGATTTTTGTGGATTGTGGCTTTTCGTTTTCGTGGACTTGCTTGTGCTTGCGTCGTTTCCGTGGACTTGTGCTTTTTCGAACGTACTGGCTGGTAGCTAGCTAGCGATTTCGAGGACTTGTGCGTTTTTGAGATAATAGAGGTGCGAACGACGTTATCTTAACAGTGAGTAGTAGAGGTGCGTGCCTCATTTTTCTTACGGTCGAGGACGTGACCTCCTCAGTGGTATAAACGAACTGATCAACCAGCGTACACCAGGTGTTGGTGGTGTTGGTATACCTCGATCGATAGGATGGATACCTCCTGTAGGATCCACTACTACTCGTACAGGCTCTCAGTATTTCTCTCAGTTCAGGGATATACTTTTACGCAACTAGTAGTCTACTGTACAGCTTACGATGCCTTATATCTCTAGGAGTTGAGTCGACTTAGTCGAGTCGAGTCGATTAACTAACTAATCAGTCCTGAGAGCTGTTCCTGCCTGAGTCACGGAGTGACTGAGACTCGAGTCGAGCCACTCGACTCGAGCCCAGTCCATTTCGCTGACGCACGAAGTGAATTTCGCGGTCATCAAAGCCCGCAAGTTGAAGTGATGATGGGCTGTGGATTCATCCATCACCGTTCCGCCAATCACTGCTGATTCCACAGACGGCATGAATAGTAGCATGGTTCCACGGATGCCCAAATCTATTCCAAAAGGCTTCCAGGTTCCAGGTTTCCTCCAACGAACGCTTATTATTAGAATCGAATCCAGAGATCGCGGTGAGGTTGACAGGAACCAGAATGCTATTTCAGAATTCTTTCTACCAATCAAAGACGGTTTTGCTTGACACAGAGCCAAGTGGGTATTCGCTCTAGCTAGCTAGCTACTCTAGCCAGCACACCTGGTGCCCACCTGAACACAGGAAGCCTCAACAGTATTGTACGATACTGCTGGGGCTCATGTCTCTACTAGCTAGCTGGTAGTAGCTACATCCTGTCATGGCTCTTCCATAGCCGAAATGTAGCAAGTCGTCTGCTATTACTGGAGGTTATCTTACGCACTACCGTAGCTAGAAAGGTAGGCTTCGTACTGGCGCCAGGTGGGTAGCACCTAGCTAGTGGAAAGCGTAGCATGCGTGAAAGGGATGATGGGCGTGGGAATCGAATCTAATCTGAGAGGTCGGTAGCTAGGTTGATACCCATTGATTCACTATTCCCACTCTTGTTGTTTGGCGGCAGGTAGTGTGCAAAAATCCCCTGTTTGATTGATCTTTCTTTGATTGGTTGTGTTGGTTGCTTTTTTTGTTTTTGTTTCCCGGTTTGGTTTGGCATATGTAAGTTGCTTTTTGTTGCTTTGTTGTGATTTAGTTGGTTGGTTGGTGGTTGTTGTTTGTTGTAGTAATGTATTATGCGCCTTCGTGAGCATGTACGTACGTAAAAAGTTGATCAAAAGCCATCTTTCTTCTTCCTGGTCCCCTGTTTGATGTAAAAGAATGATCCTTGATGATGTTGTGCACTGCACTGCTGCAATGCAATGCTATGTGATGGTGTGTCGACGAGTGCGACGATACGGTTGTTCCTCGGTGGGACAGAATCCTGCTTCTGGATCGGTTACATCGGGCATGTCTTGATCTTCACCCGCCGCAGCAGATTCCGGGGCACCTACAGCAGGCGCACTTGGAGGGGCTGCATCCGTCTTGGCTTGCTGTTCGGTGGATCGTTTGACGAACCGTCCCTTGACCCGCATCCTGCGATCGGCCAGATTCTTTCGGCAGTTGTATCTAATCTTTTTGTTCCATACCCGGCGCGCCCTCTTGCTGTTGAATCTAGCAATGATGGCTGCTCGTTCGGCTGGAGTGTAGATTCCGATGCGGCCATTCTTGTTGTACACCTAAGTTATTACAATAAGAGAAAGAGATCGAAACTGGTGAGCAAACTACATGCTTTTTCGTACACTAGAGCTAGAGCTGGCACAACATACCTCCTTGTACTTGGAGAGGGAATGAGGGAGTGTGAGTACTCCCTTTTCTCCATTGATGCTTCCCTCGCTTAGATCCTCCAACAAGCGAGATCTTGCCCTTTTGAGTAGTTCTTCTGGTGAGAGATTGGCTTGCTCCTCTTCGGACATGAGTCCACTAATGGGTGCTGATGAAGCCGTTTGTTGTTGGGTTTCTTCGTCTTCGTTGATTGGTCCAAGCTTTTGTTTGTGTCTTTGATGGGCCTCCATGGCAGCGTTCGCTTCGGCAAGTTCCTCTTCCAAGATGGACGCTGGCAAGACAAAGTGTCGTCTATTGGGTGGCGCCCACTTTTCCATTCCCTCTGGATTGGAGACACTGCGTCTGCGTCCTCCTGCTCTGGGAGGAGGTGGCGGCATGGCTTCCGAATCGTCATCCGAGGAAGAAGAAGCGGTTGTCGAAGCGCTCACCACCAGAGAAGGACCTCCTGATGCAGCTGACAATTGCAGTGGAGCACCTCGTGGTTCCCAAGAGGCTTGTTCCGACGAAGCCAGAGCTGCCAGGGCATACAGACCCGTACTGACCACTACAGCAGGAGGCGCCAATTCAAACCGTTGTGTGGGCTGCTGCTGCTGCTGTGGTTGAGCTGTTGGAGGCTGTTGAAAGGAAACTGATCGATTGTTGCTGTTGGTTGCTGTCTGTTGTGCCCTGGGGCTTCCTCTGCTAGGGCTGCTCGTGAGAGCAAAGCGGGTCTCTTGCGATTTCTGAGCGGTTGGCTGCGAAGAAACAAGCACTGCCGAAGACGCCACCGTTATGGGACTGGCAAACGACACACTGGCCGCGGAGAGGCGGGAAGTCTTGCCATTGTTGCTGCTGGGCTCGGAGGACTGCGAGGCAGGAGACACACCGAGTAAAGCTCTGGCAGCATCGAGTCTGTCCATATGATGTTCTCTCGTCGTCGTAATAACACTCAGCGAAGATGCCATGGCGGTACTTTGGTGTCTCAGTGCAGTACGGTATCGATTAATTCGAGTGCGGGCGGAGGCTGTTGTGTATCAGTTTCTGTACGGTAGCTATTGAGATCGATGCTTAGACAGGTATGGTTGTTCGGTTGTTGTGGCCATCCAAGGCGTCTGTATCAGCGGAACCACACAAACTAACTTTGAAGCCACCAAGCAAGGCCAGGCTTCAACAAAGAGTTCTGCTTCTTTTTTCCCCTTGGGACATCAATCCATTCTGGGGCTCTGGAGGCTTTGCCGTCGGCTTCACGACCCTTCCAGCTGAAGAGGGAAACTCCCACCAACTTTCCAGAACCGAACAAAGATGTCACCAATCACAGGGTGCAAGTGTGCTCGAACCCGCGCAATCTCTCGTACTGTTTCTACTTACGCATTTCGAATCCAATCGAATCGAATGCAATCTCTGGGGTGCATCAACCACCACAAACACAGCAACCGAGAATCGAATCGATTGAATCTCAATCGAATCGAATCGAATCGAATCACAATCGTGATGAATCGAATCTTTTGATGAACAAAAGTCAAGTTGACCAGAACACTTCTTGTGCTCTCGCGCGTGTTCTCTTGCGTGGCCGTGCTGCGCGCTGAAGAACACTTTCGGCAACTAGCTCGGTGCCGGGTAGCTGTCGTTTAACCGTCACACGAACCTTCGCGATTCAATGGATGGTCGTCGCAAGGAAAGTGATGGGCCCAATCAAACATCGAAGCCATCGAGGTCGCCAACAGGTTGGTGTCGCCTTTGCTGGATATGTTTTTGCAATTGATGTGAGATGCTTTCAATTCGGCATGAACTTCAGTGCCAGTTCTGTTCATGTACCGAGAGAAGGCCGCATAGGCCATCACTCACAGCCATCCATCCATCTAATCGCGTCCGTAGAAGGACCCCAAGTAGGTTGTGCTAGTGCACGTTCCTATCTAGTAGCTAGCTAGATGCCAATTCTTTGAGCCTTTCTGCAGCAGCCATACAGCAAGAGATCAAGAGATCTATCCATTGTAAAAGCTCTCTCTTAGAGGCTGCAGAAATGAGCATTGAATAATGCTTGAACTCCTCCTCGATAGCACCAAGGTGTGGATACCGCCGTATGTTGTGAGTTGGGATGTTGAAAAGGTAGATTATTGTACAAAGTCAGCAGTAGCGAAAATAAATCTTTCATTGATTGATATTCCTTCTTGGTGAGCTGGATGTTCTCCTTCGGGGCTCAATTCAAGTGCATACACGTGCATGTTACTGCTCGTCCCGTGGATAACCAGATGAGAACAAAATGGAGACGTCAAAGAATGACATGGGAGCAAAACAGATTCAAGACAAGAGATTGAGCAGGCTGCTGGAAGCTCTGGACAACCTCTAATGATCGACACCCTCTTTCTCTCTTCTCCGCACGTTCACTCCTCACTGCTCTGTAGGGTTTCCAAGATTTTTCTGGCGCGTTTGTATTCTTTTCGTTTTTCGTGATCGTCGAGACCATTCCAACGTTTCTCATCCTCCGTGGCATCCGCCCCAACTTTTTTCGTGGTCTTGTCTTGTACAGCCGGTTCTTTGGTATCCTCTGCAAACTTGATTGTGGTGTCTTTGTCATCATCGTCGCTTACTTTGGAAGTTGGTTGTTCCGAGTATTGTTTGTATCGTAGAGCCCGACGGGTAGCATCTTGCAAGAGCCGTTGTTTGGCGCCCTTGCCTTGCAATCCTTGGAGATATTCCAATAACAGAGTAAATGCCCCTTTGGCGACTTTGTCAGATTCGTACATGTGACGGAAGAGCCAAGATTGCGTATTCTTGTTGAATTTCCATTGTTCGCGATAATTCTTCCAATTGGTCAAATAGCCAGCAGCTTCCTTGACATCCTTGACATGATGTTGCTCTTTGTTGCTGTTCTCTGGCGGTGAAGCAACTTCTTCGTCGTTATCATCGTTATCCTCGCCGGTAGAGCCAGGAACAGGATCTGTTTTCCGTGCCTTTTCCAAGGCATCCCGATCCTTCTGGGCTTGCAGGATGTGCTTGCTGACCTTGCGCTTCTTCTTGGCCGACTTTTTCTTTTTCTTCTTGGTTGGCTCGGATTCTGGTGACATCTTAGTACTCTTCACGGTGCTGTTGTCGGGATTCTCGTATTCAATGGTCATGTCGCCCTGTTTGTCAAGTCCAACACCAACACCACTACAGACGGTCTGTGCACAATCCTATTCGGTGGACCAAAGAAAAAAATGAAGTTGGCCGTTGTCAACGCGAATGGAGTGGTTGTCATTGAATCCCATCCACGACTGCCAAAGCAAATCCTGAGCCCTAAAAATACAATTCTTACTAGTCTAGTTTTGCTACGAGCAGCTTCGATTTTTCTGATTCAAACGCGTGCCAGCTTTTCTGGTACACTTCTACGAGTGCTCGTGTAGAAATGTTAGAAGAAGCTCGGCTCGCGTTTGAATCAATAGAAACGAAGCTGCCTGTAGCTTGATTGAATCATTCAACCAAGATCCAAGACGCTCGACGTACGCCGTCGGAAGAACAAAAGACAAAAAGGACACCGGAGGTGTAATAGATATACCGGGCGAGCTGACTTAAAAGATGGGCCGGCATAGTAATATTGTTGAAGTTTGGCTGAAGGTAGTGTCATTAGATTTTTCCGTCTGAGAAAGTGGCGTGGTAGCTTACGGGAGCTTAGAGGTGTGCAGCGTGAGACGTTAGATTTTTCCGTCTGAGAAAGAGGCGTGGTAGCTTACGGGAGTTTAGAGATGTGCAACGTGAGACTTCAGATTTTTCCGTCTGAGAAAGAATCGTGGTAGCTTACGGGAGTTTAGACGTTAGATTTTTCCATCTGAGAAAGTGGCTTGGTAGCTTACGGGAGTTTAGAGGTGTGCAAATGTCAGGAAAATATTCAGGATCCGTTGCTATAAGAGAATGTGTAAGAAATGTGGGGGCCGATGAGGGGGCTTCGTTTTTAGTTAAACTCTAACCCTAAGGATAACCAACCAACCAAAACCAACCACCACCACAATAAAGAACACCGGAGGTGTAATAGATATACCGAGCGAGCTGAATTAAAAGATGGGCCGGCATAATAATATTGTTAAGTTTGGCTGAAGGTAGTGTCATTAGATTTTCTTGAGAAAGTGGCGTGGTAGCTTACGGGAGTTAGAGGTGTGCAACTGAGAGTTAGATTTTTCCATCTGAGAAAATGGCGTGGTAGCTTACGGGAGTTTAGAGATGTCTGAGAAAAGTGGCGTGGTAGCTTACGGGAGTTTAGAGGTGTGCAACGTGAGACGTAAGATTTTTCCATCTGAGAAAGTGGCGTGGTAGCTTACGGGAGTTTAAAGGTGTGCAACGTGAGACGTAAGATTTTTCCATCTGAGAAGAGGCTGGTAGCTTACAAGAGTTGAGGTGTGCAAGGCCAGTCTAGATTTTTCATCTGAGAAAGTGGCGTGGTAGCTTACGGGAGTTTAGAGTGTGTGCAACGTGAGTCATTAGATTTTTCCATCTGAGAAAGTGGCGTGGTAGCTTACGGGAGTTTAGAGGTGGGCATCATGAGGAAAATATTTAGGATCCGTTGCTACCGTATGATTATTATGAGAACGCGTGAGAACGAGGGGGTTGAAGTAAATCTCAACCCTAAGGATAACCAACCAACCAAACCCACCACCACCACCAATAAACGGGGTCAGAGATCACCGGGGTCTGCCCGGTATATAAACAGGTTCAGAGATCACCGGGGTCTGCCCGGTATATAAGCCGTCCCAGAAAAAAAGCAGAGACAGGTTTAGCTTTAGAATGAGCTTAACAATGTATCCTAAGGTCTGGCCGTCGTCAGGATCAGGAAGCCAATTTCACTCGACAAAGCAAGCAGATCGATGGAAAAACCGCAATGGCGAATACAGTTATGAGAGTGCCGACAGCACATGCTATGCTTAGAGATAGAAGGCGAGGGGTATCCCGTTGGAAAGCCAAAGGACTGCTCTTGCTCGATCACCCTTGCCTGCCATGTTTTAGCGGCTTCTCCGGTGAAGTTAATACTGTTTAGCATGGTGTGTCGAAAAGAGAGTTGTCAGATTGGAGTGAGAGATGCTGAACAGGCACAGGACAACAGGTGGCAGAGTTAACAGATATCGATAGAGCACACTCAACTTACCCATGCGACATACTCGCATTGTCATTGGGGTAGCTTGCTTGCACAGATAATAGACCGACAGCAGTAGCATACGAAATTGATTGTTTGTTCTTCTGTTTGGCCCCTTTCTGCTTGCCAGAACTGGTGGCTATTTCGCTGCTTTTTCGGCAGATTGACCAATGCTGCTCGCAATGGAATCTGGAAGAAGAGATCCTCATATGATATCGCTGAAACCAGTTGTTGGTTGGTAGGAAACGCAAGATGACGACCGTGCAAGCGGGGATTTGCTGAACGGTAAAACAGACACTTCTTCCATGACGCTTACGATGATGCGTCTCCTGATTTCTTGACTGACCTCGTGTTGCATGGAGAGGAAAAAATGCAGACAAAGTATGTTCATAAGAATGGATCAATCCGGATTCTTGAAGGGGGTGATAATCGTCCACGCTTCACTGTACTTACATTCGAAAGGGAAACTCGCAGCTATCCTAACACTGGGATTCACTTCACTGTTTGGGTGATGCAGCTGTTGGATGGTTCCTACAGTATCATCAAAGCAGTCACTGACACCTCTCTTGCTAAATGGTTGGAAGGAAAAGAGATGATGTCTGGTTGCACGCTGATTGTGCCTGATTTCAGGATCGTTCGATTGCAGACAGGTGATGAGATGTCTACCAAAATGATCATGCTCATCAAAGACTGTGGATGGGTGTACCCGCCTGATGTGGACTTACCATATGTCGGTCCACAAGAAAAGGCAAGGCCTTGGGGCCAGATCTTCGATGAGGAAGAGAACTTCCGTGCTCCATCCAGGAGAATCACTCATTTCTACCACGGTACAATCGAAAAGAACATGAAGTATGGACATCTCATTTTCACTGAAGAGAGGAGGGAATCCCGACAGGCCCATCGCTGGAATTCCTATGTCAGGTCTGACGTTCTTCGATCCGAGTATTCTGAAGGTCATTGGATCATGTCGGGCGATACCAGGAAGTGCTGGGATCAGCGTATGAATGACAAGAAGGCTGCAACTGCCAAGAAGCGTGATCTGTGGGAAGAGTCCGACGATGACGAAAAAGTAGTTGAGTGTGCGTGCATCAGTACATTTATTTACAAAGATTGCATCGCCAAACAGTACACTGTCGACATGATTGACAAGGATGCAGTGATCCAAGCCTTCTCACCTTTTTGCAAGCACCCGCACATCATGGATCCCAGCATGGATTGGGAAGAGTTGGCGGACAAAACCAAAAGGTGGTGTTGCTACCAACACTACCATAGCAACTTCTTTCGTTCGTCGAAAGGTGAGTGTTCTCCTCTTCCGTGGTGTGTCGAGAAGTACATCAAGCAGTGCTACGGTGGAGCCAGTGCCCTCTACACCGGTTTCAAGACAAAGAGGCAGAGAGCGGCCGAGAGGTACACCGGCAAGAAGGCCAAGAAGTTGACCATGGTGGAATCGAAGAGTGCAAATAAGAAAGCTTTTTCGAAATCGAAAGGAAAGGAAAATGAGGTCAGTTCCAGTTCCGATTCGGAGTAGTGGTATGTGCTACACGCACTCGTGTCAGTTGAATGGATAGTGTCAAGTGGTTGTTCGATTGGTGGTTGTGAATGGAGACATCGCTAGTTGAAGAGAAAAGATAAGCCCGATAAATGTTAGTGATTACTATCAAAAAAATTGTATTCATTCCTCCACGGCGATATCGCAAACATCAGATCGTTCGCCAAAACGTCAAGTCTCCGGAATCGTCCTCTCTTATCGTCAAACTGTCCAGTAAGGATAACCTCCAGACCGCAAACTTTGTATCAGTCATCAAGCAGTACTCGTCCCTTTATCTTCTTCATCGCCGGTTACTTCTGAATGATCATTGGTGGTCGCCTGCTCTGCCAATCGCTTCGGATTGAACAAGCAAGCCTTCGCTCGCTTGTTTTGTGGCCATAAAGCCCACAAAATCCACATTGTACGCTCTGTTTCGAACTTTTTTGTCTACACCACCATGGCAATCGCCCTTTTGTATTCCTTGCCGTTCGCTCTATCCTCTGCCAACTTCTCAAAGTACAACTTGATCTTCAGGTAATTCTTTTCTTGACGAATCTTCTTGTTCTTCGTTTTCCTGGATTGCTTCAACCGATACGCCCTTTGTTCCTCAACCTTTCTGATTCGGTGCAACGTCAAATCATCCATCTCCAAACCACAGTCGCTGAAAAAGCCGTTGGTAGAATCCGTCAAACCCCATCGATTGAATGCAGATTGCTGTACAGATTCGGTTTCGAAGGGACACCGAACCACAGTAAGTTTTGTTCTTCGGTGCTAGCCAGCTGATTGTATTGTTCAACGATTCATTGGGATTGGTATCATACCATGACAAACCTCCCTCATCCTTCTATTGTTGTAAATGCTGCATCACTTCTTTCAACAGGTCGTACAGTTCCTTATCCTTCACCATGTCACGGTATACTTTCGTTGATTGTTGCTTTTCCTCCTCGGTGGCAGTTTTCCGGACGCACCAATCACCGCAGTTTCCATGACAGTCGAACAGATGATCCAAGCAACATTCGGCTCTCTCTACCCATTCTTCTTCAGGATACTTCAAGTTTTACGTACCATGTAAATATAGAATTGGGACAAACGGATGAGTACTTTGGAAGCCTTTGTTGACGACACTTTTTCTTCTTTTTCAATTTGTACAGAACAGTTTTCAAGCTCTTTTTCCGATGAGCTGGATCCGCAAGAAACGTGGGGGTGTGGTATCGGGGTATTGAAGATTACCCTTCTTTCGCTTCACCCATTTTCCTCGACTATCGCGTCGCAGATTGATGTCGGTTCGATTCTCATGTTTCATCCAATCCTTGTTTGACCATCGACAACTTGCCCTCATTGTACTGTCATCGTCAGTTATCACTTCCTCCACCTGCACGTTGAACGTATTCCACAACTCGTGGATCATGTCAAGCAGAGCGTTGGACTCCATGGCTCCAGCTGTTCCAGCGTGGTTGATTTTACAAGTGTGTTCGGGTGGATTGTTGCCTTTGGCACGATGCCAGCTGCAGATTGAGCAATGAGTGGATTTGGTACTCAATGCAATGGGCAACCTCGACCGTGCTCCGAACAAACATGCATGACCAGAATGGGAATCGTAAGTCCGACCACTTCCTTTCTTTTGCCATCCCATGTCCATTCCACAGCTAACTCTGGCACTGCTTTTGCTGCATCTTGGACGACCATTCTTGAAGTTCCTTTTCCACAATTCGAAATCGAAGTCATTATCTTCCGACATTGTCAGTTCCACTTCCTTCATCAGATTTGCTGTTAGCTGTTCTCTGGTAATCTCCTCGATCGTGGAAGATGCGGCAGTTTCCATACTGCCGAACGTGTTCGATTTCATGGTTGTTGCATTCGGCACAGAACAGAAAGTTAGGAACCGACTAGCTTCAGTTGGACCATCGCCACAACCAACAAAGGCCTGCACAAACTTGAAGTTCAGCTCATAGTCGGTAAGTTGCTCATGGGCAGTCATCTTTTGCCAATTTGTCTTCGCCACATCACCCTCATCAACCACTGAACAAGTATTGCAAGACAATCGAGGAATGGTGGCTATACCACAATGACGAAAGGTAAGTTTCACTGGACTCTTCTTGCAATGAGAACAAATAGTATTCCTCTCAATTAGTTCCGACATTCCCTTTTCCTCTATGATACAACGCTTGTTGTCCGACTTGGCAGAAGGTTTATCATTGAGTACTCATTTGTTGCTAAGGAATGGATTCTTTTTTACTTTCATCCTACTGCGCCGCTCAGCACTGGAAATGGGAGTGACATGAGACTTCTTGACTGCACTGGCAGGAACATTTGGAGATTGAAAGTCTATTCCCTCCACTTTTGTCACTTTGGTGTGGCTGTTCCTTCCAGGTGGGAAGAAGGTCCAATCCCCTAGCTGTCTCTCCCTATCTCTTCTATGGATAGAGGACAACTGCTTGGGTGTCTCCTTTATCTCTGGAGATGCACCTGCCTGCCTTCTACTGAGCCTCTTTGCACTGTCAGCCATGGTAAGATACACTGTTGTTTGGTCTGTTCAATGAAGAAGGATTCAACTAACCATTGGCCATCTTTCTTTCTCATTACAGATACCACGCACTGAGGAAGAAGAAAGCTGACTTGCTTGGTAGAGCTAAATTACTAGACAAAACAAAGATTCCGTCCTCGAGATTCCTTTTCAGAGGCAGACTTCTCCAAATCGATGCCTCCCCCTCCCCCCGCAAAATAAGCACCATTGGGGGTGGGGGTGGGGTTCGAATTGGCACTTTCTGCCTCTGTGTGCCAGTCGATGGGATACATCGTTAAGGCATTGCACAGATGTGGACAATCCAGAGGATACCAATCGGACGACGTCTCTCATTGGGACGACGAAGGTGCAGCAGTAGTAGTGACCAGCCTCATCAGACAAACCTTTCGGCCGCTTCCTCCCTTCGAACCCTCCTGGACCGTCGGATCGTGGGACACGAGAATACCAAAGAATGCATCTTGTTGGGTCTCGCCGCCAGTGAACATGTCTTTGTCCAAGGAGAACCGGGTACTGCCAAGACGTATGCCGCCGAATTGGCAGCGCAACTGGCCAATTTGAGCACATATTCCGTGCAATTCCACCGAGATACTCGATTGCAAGATTTGATTGGTGACTCCATCATTGTGCGTCAGACATGTCCTTCCACCAGCCATGAGATTGTACGACAGTCCGTCGATCGAGGAGGGTTGCTCACATGTGAAGTGGCCGTTTTGGATGATTTGACTCGGGCTCCTGGGGAAGCCTTGAATGTTCTGCTCAGAATATTAAATGAGAGGACCTTTGAGGATCAAGAGCTGCCTCTGAGGTGTGCCATTGCCACTGCCAATGCTCCTAGGGATGACATGTATGTGGAGCCTCTCGATCCGGCCAACTTGGATCGGTTTGCTCTTCAAGTACAATCGGATAGCTTGATTCTGGGAAATGATTGGACTTCGGTTCATCAGGTGGTAGATATGTACCAAGAAAACACTACTACTACTTCCACACAAGATGACAATCAACTGGCACAAGCCGCCAAGGCAGTTGGATCCATTGATGTCAACTCGGTAGTCTTGGGAGACGACATGAAGGAATGCTTTATTTTGTTTCTTCAGTGGCTATCCAACCATGAGGCTGTGACACCTCGGAATTCGCTCTTGACTGATCGAACCTTTCTCGTTAAAGCACCCAGAATACTCAGGGCCCAAGCTGCACTGCAAGGGCGTCAGCATGTGGAAGTCCAAGATATGTTGGCTTTACGGCATATGACAACCTTTCGGGTACCTGCTGCCGTTCACCAACAAGTCTGTGAATTACTGACATTGCTAGCACAGACCTCTCCAAATGATGACAATGAAGATGACAATGATGACGACAATGATGGGACCAAGCAAGGCGGCAACCATAAAATGGCCGGATATTTGAAGCACGTCATTCAGCAATTCCAAGAGGGAGGACCTAGAATACAGGGTCCACGAGGAGCAGGGAACTCTTCAGGTGACTCCAAAATGAATATTCAGAGTGATGAAGAAAGCGATGAAAAAACGACAACAGAGTCAGCAGATGCCTCTACATCCAAAGCCAAAGATAAGAAGAAGGTGACCCACGACAATGATGCCATTGACCATGATCTACTCGCAGACATTGGCGGAACGTCTGTCCTCCATGCCACAGTTCTTTCGTTCGTGGCCACTTCCAAGACACTAAAAGAACGCACTATAAGGCCATTGCGTCGGCTCTGGGGTGCAGCGCAAGGTCCCCAAATCAAACTCAACCTACATTCCACGGCTGTGTCGGGAGCCGAAACTGTCATGGCGGTGCTCCATGGTCGCACTCGACGCTCTCGGGCTCCATCCACTCTCCAACAACAATCGCTTTCCACCGTGGGACAACCAAGGGAGCGTGGCCGGCTGCCGTCCATGGGAGATCCCAATCTGTTTCAAGACGGTGACCCAGCGGATATTTCTTCCTGGATAATCTCACCGACATCGTCCCTGCCAAGGGGATTGCTTCGACATCCCAAGAGACGGGGAGGGTCTATTGCCTTGGCTCGAGATATCAGTGATAGTATGTGGGGACCCAAAGCTGCCTTGGCATCTGCCACTACACAAGCTGCCATCAATCTGGCTAGACAACGCGGGATGCGGTTTGGATACTGTGAGTTTGCTGGGACGCCGAAGCTATATTATCAACGGCCACCCGATCATGTGCGGGAACAGCCATGTCATGCCGACGACGATGCACACGCCTCTCGCTATTTTCAAGAAGCTTTGCTCGACTGGGGCGTGGCAATGACAAATCAACTGGGAGGTCTGTTCGGATTGGAACCAAGCAACAACAGCAACTCCCAAGTGTCCTCTTCTGGACACTTTTTTGGAGTGGACTATGCACTGTGCGAACGCCGCGCTCGGCAGCTGGAAACCGATGGGTATACCAATCTTCAAGACATGCTGCGACAGTTGCTAGAACGGTTCAATGTTTCTGGTTTGCCACCCCATGAGAGACACTTGCTAATTATAACGGATGGATCGCCCACCACTGGTTCCGCAACTTGCATTGACGAGGCCATGCTAGCCAAGAACCTGGGAGTTGCCATTCATCCTGTCTTTGTAGTAGACGATTCCGAAGATTGGCATGGTGGTGGTAGCAGCTACCCTGACGTCCTTACCAATCTGGCAGAGATGACCAATGGTGTACGATTCTTGGCCAAACATGAAGTGACATTGGATGAGCAGGCGGAAGTGGATAACAACGAGTACGCACACTTGGTTCAAGTGAAGGTTGAGCTTGCATAGTGTGGTTACGGCAGTGATTGAATCAGTCGGTGACGGACTAGCTAGAGACCGTAACATTGCAGTGTCGTGATATTCAGTAAAAGGCGACCACAGACCTCACTAGCTAGGCAGATGGTACAAACGTTTGTGTGTTGTGGAACAATGGACGGCATGAAAAGCCAGTAGCAGGAGTCGAGTCAAGTCAGCCAGGATCCAGTCTGTCCTGGCGGAGGATAGAGGGCCCCAAAGCGCGTATCAGTCGAACCATTGCTACGTGAAGATGCACTCATCATTATTCTTAGTTTAGAAGTTTATACTTTTGGAATTTCAATACATGGTATCTTCTTGGCACCATAACAAATAGAGTTCTGCTTCTCCTCTGAAGATCGCGTCATCGCGTCTTCTCTCTTGCCATTTGATTTACTCGGAATCAAATTGACCTGTCGCTGCCAGTATAATGAGAATGAGCATCGTGACCACCGTTCCGAGAGCGAGAAACGTGAGCACTTTGGCATTAGTGCTGATCATAGGTCCTTCTTTCTTGACAACGACTTCTCCTTGGTCATTGCTGATGTTGCCCGACTTGTCTGTGTCTGTGGGTTCCGGTCCTTTCACGTCGGCCTCGACATCCCGTGGTTGCTCATCGTTCGCGCTGCTCATGGTTGTTTGTTAGATGATGATGGTACCGTATTCAGAAGAGAAGAGAGGGAGAGAGCAACAAAATTATGGGTTCCTCGTCGAGAGAGTCGAGAGTCGAGAGGAGGAATTGTGGCATCAGCCTACATCCAATCAATCAACCAACCTCAACCAGGAATAAGGAGCCAGGACAAGGCCTCAAAATGTGGCGAACAAATCAATCATACGCACTCCGGAGTACCGGTACATGTAGAGTGATGCTTCATTGGTTGAGAGGGGTCGTCGATTTGATTGTCGCGAATGCTCAGAATTAACTACATGTACCACCGGAGTTGCAAAACGGTAGTCCTGGTATCTATCTGAGACTTGCCTGATACTAGTACTCCTACTACTAGCTACTGTAGTACATACCGGTACCCCTGATGCATACATAGAAAGATTGGCCCGCTCATACTCCAGAGAACATAATACTTCGGCTTACTTTCAAACTGGTGTTGAACTAAATGCTTAAGAGGGTCGTGCACACACATACAATTGGGAAAAAGTTATAATACAATTGGGTTCCGTACTTTGCTTAGATTGCCGCGATGCGCGATTAGGCCTTAGGACTTCTTTTCCACTTCTCGTTGTACACTACTTAGGCTTTTTACCGGTACGGAATCCTGGAGTCACGGATTTTCGCTCATGCAGGACTCGCTTACAACTTCTTCTGCGCGCCTCCTTCCTTCTTTTCTTCCACAGTCGAGTGACGAGTCGAGTCCTCCCTCTATTCCCCTCTAACCCACAGCAACCACTCTCTACATGTATGTAACCACTGTCACTCGATCCCTCCCTGTGCTACAAGTGTCAATGTTAGTACACTATACCGAAACAACAAGAAGTGGAAGACATCGAGTGGCGATGATTGACTGCATTGTGTGAAACAGAATGACTGTCACTCCACAGAGTGACATTAGTATCCGGCTTGTTTGGCACCGAAAGGGCGACCTTCGCCTTGGCGACAATGAGCTCTATCAGGATGTCTCCACAAGTTAACCAACGACAGTACGAGCACCCAGATTATTGTGTTCCATTATTTGTCATCAACCCTACCGACTAACGAGCCCCGCTTGGTGACGGGTCAGACAACGAAACAGGAATCTGGACCGTAACGGAAGGTCCTCACGCTTCGAGAGCTCTCGTGGATGCCTTGACTGATACGATTTGCGAGTCAATTTGCGGGCGTTGGGTGGAGAGTTGCTCATTCGACTTGGAAATTGTTCCGGACATGGCCAACGCCTGGAAGCTACGAGAAGTGGTATGGACTGAGCTACCGGGATCCTATGAGCGGCAGCAATCGGAACAAATGAAACTGAACTTTCTGGGGCTAGCATCTACGATGGAAATCATGCGCATTCGCACTGTGGCATCGTATACTCTGTATCATCCGGAGGATCTCCCAAGGAGTCAGGAGACTTGGTCGAAATTGGCCAGACCCAACAATCAAACGGAAAAATCCAGGAATCGACGTTGCAACAGCAATAACAATGACAATCCACAATCTATCACTACCACAAACTTGTCAGCCCCAGATACTGGTCGCAACAACAATCCTCCAGTATTGTCGACTGTCGACTGTAGTCCCTCACGATGGATGGGGCTTCCACGCATCATGGGGGGTTTCCGACGGGCTGCTCGAACCGCTGCCCCCGTACGACCCTGTCTTCCACCGCCGTGTTGGGAAACGATCCATCCGTTCTCATTGGCTGCCAATAGTAACCGAGCAGGAGACCTGCCCAGCTCACTCGCCCATACCAAGGAACATCACTGTTTGGACTGCCTTTTACTAGTAGTGTCATTGATACCATGATCGGCCAGGCTTCATCCAACGGGACGTATTATTGCGGAGAATCCCAAGCACAGATTGAGTGGCTCGACTTTCTTCGGAATCATGCTGCCGTGGCCAACCGCAGTTTGGCGTATACCTCACAGCATCAATCGGGACACATTAGTGCAGCTCTCGCCATGGGAGTCTTGTCCCCGTGATACATTTATTGGTCCGTCGTGGAGGAACAGAAGCAGCAGCAGCACAAACTAGTAGAAGAAGAAGTACAGTGGATCCAGAGCCACATGGAAATGAGAGATTATTTCCTGTAATCTGCTTTCGCCATGGACGATCAGCTGTATCATTTGGTGGGACAACAAGTTCCCGTTCACAGGAGCAAGCAACGGTGAGGGAAACAAGAGCAACAACCAAGTCGGAATGGTAACGAAACGACTCCGATAACTGCCTGGAAACCTGTCAGTGACGACACCTCCAGACAGCTGTTTGCGCAATGGGCCACAGGTCAAACTGGACTCCCCTTGATCGACGCTGGAATGAACGAAATGCAAACCACGGGGTAATGCAGCAATCGGGTGCGCCAAAACGTGGCCAGCGTTTTGACCAAAGACCTGCATTTGATTCCAAATGGACCACGATTGTGGATCCGAAAACACAGTACACGTGGAAGGACAAGAAACGGCTGGAAACAACGGGGATGCTCTTGGAGTGCAGTGCAGCGAAGTGAAATGGTCCCATCGACTCTCTCCACCTTTTAAAAGAAAGACATATGCATAGCTGGGTGTTGGTGTATTGTGGTATATGGTGATCCCACTTTTCTATTGCGACTTCGCAGTTGCAGATGCAGCTGCTGTTTATCTATAGTTGTTGGGTGTGCTAGAAAGTAACAATCCCCAAGAAGCACTTCATGACAGTTGAACCCCCTCGGGAAAACTGAAATTCTTAAGTTGTCTCTGGCTACTTCCTAGCAACCCGTCTCCTCCGATTTCCTCTGCCGCCCGCTGTAGCTTTTCCTTCGTGTGCGGGTTTCTGTCGTCCCGACTGGTCAATCCTGTACTCCTTCTTGGTGAAAACAACAGTGCTCTCTCCGTTCGGCAGTATGATGACGTCGTAGCCTTTGCTGTCGTTGTGCTCTTGTGACTTTCGCCGCATGTTCAGCGTGCTCTCGATACTCTTGGCCCTTTCTTCTTTCAGGTTTTTCACTACTCGTTCAGGGTAGTTCTTTCCGATGACCACGCCATAGCGCTCCAAGATTATGTTGGGTGTTTGCCATGGGCGATGGAGCATCTCCAAGGGGAGCTTCTGGAGCTCAGGAACCCACTTCTTAGTATATTTGCCAGTCGGACATTGAGATGCACTCTCTGGACTCAGCACAAAATTCCATTGATCAATGCCACATTTTCCCGCATTCTGCCACATCATGGCGTTGATTGCAGTGTCTGCATCCACGAGGGTGTAATGAAACCATTCGCAGCCTCTAGCCCAATGAACACGCAAGTATTCGACCAGGAACGAAGCCACCACCATGCGCACAGTCTGTGTCATCCACCCAGTTTTGTACAGTTCTCTCATCCCTGCATCCACAATGGGATACCCGGTTCGCCCCCACTTCCATGCTTCGAACCGCCGGTCTGCCTCTGGTCCAGATACCCATGCAGTATCCTTGTAGTGAGCACGAATGGGCATCCAACTCATCTGCGGGAAGCAACGAAGCTGGTAGTAGGCCAAGTCTCGCCAGATCAAGCGTCTTCCAAAGATGTCACTATCACCCGGATGATGCTGGTGCCACCGCCAATAGAGTTCGTTGGGTGACAGGGTCCCTAAGCGTAAATGACATGACAGTCGTGAAGTGGCTGTTTCCTTGTCCGCGCGACTGCGATCGGTGTCGTACCGTCGATAGCCACTATTCGGCAGGCTAAAGAATGCATTGAGCATGTCTTGGGCTCCCCTGTGGCTCATGTCGGGAAAGGCATCCTTGATGGGTTGATGCCATGGCTTGACTTTGGGAGGCAGGACAGCCAGGGGTAGATTGTCGTCTGAACGAGGCCACTTCGTGGGGGCTCTTGCATTCTGGAGGATCCCGAATGTTTCATGGCTTGGGATTGGTCTACGCGGTTCACCGTAATTTTTCTTACAGTTCTTAAAGAATGGCATCAGTGTTCCCCAGTGTCCACCATTGAATCCTTTGGTTAGAGACACTGCGTCAATATCGTACAAGAGCGTAGATTGAAAGCCAGTCAAGGTGACACCTGAGAATTCCACCTCTTTCGCAACCTCCATTCGAGCAGCCTCTAGCTGTCTTCCATGCGGCGTAAAGTCCCGGTTAAAGCATACGGCTGTAGGATTTGTCTCTCGGAGTAGACTGGCAAACTCTTGTTTCATGCAGTCGACACTGGGACAGCTCCGAGAGATTAACTTGAGCCCAAACGATTCCAGCTCCTGACTCAAGTTGCTAACCGCCTCCTTGAGCAAGACCTCCAACGCTTCGGCCCGGATACCCCCCGAAGTTAATGTCAATGGAGACCACAAAAAGACAGGAATGACAGTGGACTGTCGTTGGCAGGCTTCTTGCACGGCCAGGTTATCATATAATCGAAGATCGTGAGAACCAAAAAGCAACAGACAAGCGGATTGTTCAGATGACTCAGTGAAGCCGTTTCTACTTTGCTTCGCCGCTGTCGCCAACGCAGTCTTTTGTCGTTTGGTGGCAGGTGACGAGGCCCTGCTGTCTTTTCCTTTTGTCATCTCTGCTTCAATGGCTGGTTTGTCAGATGGAGACTCCGTGGCTATGGCACACTCTGTTGTGGTATCACTGTCCTGATTCGACAATGGCGCACACTCCACCTTGTCATCATCATGATGAGTTACTTGCATCTTCATCAAGTCCGTAATCTGCAGCAAGTCCTTTTCCGATCGTACACCGGGGGCTTCCCACAAAGGCTCTACGTGGTATGCCTTGTAGAGTTTCAGAATCTCCACGACAACGCCTTGTGCCTTTTCGGGCGACTCCAAAAAGTCTCGACTCAAAAAGACGCCATTCCAGGGTCGAAACTTTTGCTGGGCGATGAGTTGTTTGGTGGGCAGAAAGACGGATCCTGCGATAGTAGTATCCCGCTGGTTTTTGTTCTTGTTCTTGTTCTTGTTCTTGGTAAGAAGTTCCAAAGCTTGCTTGAGTCGGATCAAGTCGGTCCCAAACTGCAAATAGACTTTGGAGACTAATCCAGTATCTAGTTTGGCTTGGAGTCGGTCTGTTTCTTCTTGCTGCTTGGCTGCATCAGGAATGTAGGGATTGTATGCCACTGCAAGCGTTGGGATTTTATTGTTGTCTTGCAATTGTGCAGCTAGTCTCTGCAATGCATCCACGGTGTTCCATCGTGGCCGGGCCTTGTTGGAGTTGTGTCCACCACTGACGAGAAGAATTTCATCTGTAGTAGTAGAGGATTGCTGCTGTTGCTGTTCTACAAACTCCATCAACAAGTCTGTATGAGCCTCATTGCCCTTGCGAGCCACCTTCTTGTACTTGAGTGAATAATGGGCACAAATGTGTGCCGTGGGACATTCCTCCTTGACAATCTTACACCACGAGGACAGATCGTCTTGGGCATTCTTGTTGACGAGATTAAACTTGACGTGTCCATGAGATTGTAAGAGTTGGACTCGTTCCCGTAGCTGAGAAGGGGAGCTGAAAAAGAGTTCTATGCGGGGTGAGTCATCCTCAGCGTTGCATGCTGGTTCCTTTTCTTCCGAGTCATGGCTGTGTCGAACAGCGTTTCCTTGCCGTTGTCGCGTATTCATTCTATGAAGTACCGAAGGAAGCAACCTTAAGTGTGGTGATGTCTGAAAGGCGACGGATTCGGTTGGAATCAAACTTATGGAACAAAGGAAGGACAAGAGAAATCGCCAAGGAATGGCCATGGAGATTGCTGATCTTGTCGCTGGAATCGAATCGAATTTGCTACCTGCCACAGCTAACTAATGATGGCATGAGTTGCCTGCATCTACGCCTTCTTCAACCCAATGGACTCTCATGGTCGAACACACTCAGTCAAAGAGAAAAGGGGTTGATGATGAAAGTGACAATGGAGTTGCCAACCATGCATGACTGAGTCAGGACGAAACATCAAAAATCCTTTCATCCATGCTACAATAGCGTTTCAGGTTATTTCTACCTCTTACGAGTTACTCGTTTTTCCAAAACCAACAACCACCACGGCCCACGGACCCCAGCCTGTACCGGTACTAGCTAGTACTCTCTGTTACCAGCAGCCCTGTAGCTCTGCACAACTCGAGCAACACTCAACTAACTGTTTGGAAGGAAGTAATCAAGAAGAAAGCACCATGGTCTCCAAGAAAGCGGTACGTAGACAACGCCGGAGGGGGCATCAGATTTGCTGCCCGCCCGAGATGGAGGTTGTCTAACGTAAACCGGCAAACGGACGGAGGAGCAAGAGGCAACAGGTCTGACCAGGCCACCCAATCTACAGGACCCCAATCCAGATAGATTGACAAGGAGCTACTACCGTACCCTTTCGACTGTTGATGGGTCGGGGCAGATGATATGTTCCAGAAAGTGCTGGGGGTTATCTCAAGGTTCCTCAGAACTGTCGACTGTATACCACACGCTTTGCTGGAATCTCTCCGCCCCTCTTGCTCCTTTTTCTCTTTGTCGGTTTGAAGCAACGCAACATCATCCTCTCGGGCCACTGTGGATTTTGTGGTAAGCACTTCATCTCACTAGTCTTCGTTTCGTCTTGTTCTCTTTCTTATTATATATTGTGAGCGCAGAAGAAGCAGCAAGACTCTATGAACAGTCGTCTCAAGCTGGTCATGAAGTCTGGCAAGGCCATTTTGGGAACCAGGGCTTCCGTCAAGAGTCTCCGAAAGAGCAAGTCCAAGATGGTACTGATCGCCTCCAACTGTCCTCAATTGCGCAAGTCAGAGGTCGAATACCTGGCCATGTTGGCAAAGGTTACCGTGCATCACTACCAAGGGGACAACTCGGCTCTGGGAACTGCTTGCGGTAAATTCTTCAACTGCTCCGTCCTCAGTATCATTGACCAAGGTGACTCGGATATCTTGACCAGCACCTAAAGCACCAATGATGGAATCGAGATACCTTCCTTTCTTTCCTTCCCGTTTCTTTCTTCCCGGTTAAGAAGTAGTACTCGAGTTTGACCAAAGTTACCTCACCTCCTCTGTATATATAATCACTAGAAACTACCGTCTAGCTAGAGACTGCGTGGATTTTGTTATCGTTGCTTCTGCTTTATCCCGAACAACTAGCTACTAGCTAGACGACCAGGCAGAGTTAGAGAAGGCTACATAATGTCATAATAATGCTGTTACCAATTGTTGGGATTTCAAGCACTCATCTTGCTTAGAACCCACTTTTCCACCTCAATCGAGCCGACATAATCATGTGCACTCCACCATGGACAACCCCTTTCATAGGCATACTTCAGGATTTCCAAATGTCCTTTTTCGGCAGCATTTTCACATGTTTCTTCATCCCGTGGACAGCCATTTTCATGGGCATATTTCAGGATTTCCACATGGCCATTTCTTGCAGCATTTGAACAGGTCCATTGATCCCATGGACAGCCATTTTCATGGACATATTTCAGGATGTCCAAATGACCAACTCTGGCAGCATTTGAGCAGGTCGATTTATCCCATGGACAGCCAATGTCATGGGCATATTTCAGGATGTCCAAATGTCCATTCCGAGCAGCTTCGTTGCATGTGTATTTGTCCCGTGGACATCCATTATCATGGGCATATTTCAGGATTTCCAAATGTCCATTCTGAGCAGCACGGCTAAATGCGTATGCATCCCAAGGGCAGCCATTTTCATGGACATATTTCAGGGTTTCCAAATGTCCATTGGATGCAGCTTCAAGGCATGTGAGTTTACCCCATTCACATCCATTTTCATGGGCATATTCCAGGATTTCCAAATGGCCCTTTGCAGCCGCCGTGGAGCAGGTAAAGGAATCCCATCTGCAGCCATTTTCATGAGCATATTTCAGGATTTTCAAGTGACCATTTTTGGCAGCATTTGAGCAGGTGTATTGATTCCATGGACAGCCATTTTCATGGGCATATTTTAGGCACTCCAAATGGCCCATTTCAGCAGCACCAGTGCAGGTCCATTGATTCCATGGACAGCCATTTTCATGGGCATATTGTAGGCACACCAAGTGGCCCATTTCAGCAGCACCAGCGCAGCTGCGTTGATCCCATTCACAGCCATGTTCATGGGCATATTTCAGGAATTCCAGGTGGCCATTTCTGGCCGCTTCCCTGGTTGTCTTATTTGAATCCCATCGTGAAAACAACCCTTTGTTTTGGGCCCATTTCATAACCTGAAGATTACCCGCTTTGGCAGCTGTAGCACAGATATTAACATAACGAATGCGCCCCCCAGTGCGTTTGTAGCAGTGGGCATACCAATACTCTGCTCGTGGCACACTAGACACAATTGCACAGAGAAAAGTATCAGTGGGCGTTGATGACCGCTTGTTTCCCTTTTCATCATCGGCATCACCACCAAGAACTAGAGGAGGATCTTTGACAGTTTCACAATAAGCCTAGTACAGACGTTTCATGTTGTGACTGACTGGTGCCACAAAGGCAAATTGACCCATTCCAAGGAAAGGGAAAACTTTGTTGATCCAAATATCCTCATGCTTCAAGCAAGATTCTTCTGGGGCAAGAAGCCTGATATTGGACCTAGCCCGTTGGACAATCACATTCACTTGTTTCTGTAGAGCCAATGCCGTCTCAAGATGCTGCGCCGATTCTGCCTTGGTTTTGCTGTCGATGGACTGGAAGTGCTGATATATAGCCGAAAGAGCTTCTGACGCATCTAACATGTCCCTCGAATGCTTTGTTCGCTTCTTCTGCTCGGGCAAAGCCGAGCTGCAGTCCAAGTCGCTCTTGCTGTTATCTTCCTCCATCTTTGTTGTTTCGTCTTCGATTCTGGCTAAAGCCCTTCTTGACAGAGCGAGCTGAGTGCAAGTCCACGGTGATGAGCTATAAACTATGAGTAAATGGTTTTTCAGTGCTGATCGAGTTATTGTGGACGGCGAGGCACTCAGTCGATCCACGGTGAGGCAAGCAGTCCACGACGAGGCACAGCAATCCACGATGAGGCACTATTAATTCATGTGCCCCCTGGGTCGTCTCCGTTTCCAGTACTAGTTTAACTTGTCTACTAATACAGGATAATGGTGAATAGAATCGAATGAATCATGTGGCTTATATTTAGGGTTTAGGTTTTGCAATTTTGAAGTCAACGTGTGTTAAGTGGAGGGTTGGCTCGCTTCCGCTGGGAGCTTGGTGTCTTCTTTTTCCTCTGTTTCCCGCTCTTCGTCGGAACTGGGGTATTCGGTAATAGGATCGTGAGCAAGTTCGGCAGCTTTCTTCATACCTTGTGGAGTGTCATCATTCTGACTATTCGCAGGTGACACTTTGGCCGACGTGGTTCGTGGAACAGGTGGGACGGGAGATGACGTATTTGGTTGCATTGGAACTGGGAATGGTTTGCGAATAATATTGGGAGGTCCAGTATTGAGGATTTGAAAGTGAGGGCACGGGGGATTTATACGGGAAGCTACTGTTGGCCGGTCTAGATATTTAGCGGACCCGGATAAGAAAAAGACCGCACCACCGTAGGAATTTAAGGAAACTGGCATTCTCAGATCCAGACTTCAAAGCGACCAGCCAGAAAGATCACTTTTTCTTCACAGCTCGCCCAAATCAACAAATTAACCTTGATATTACTAGTAGCTGCAGTGTTATTAGACCCAACACTGTGAAGAAAAAGGTTTTTGGATTGTTTGTATTGAGTTTGCCCATGGTAAAGACCAAAAAGATAGAGTAACCAGGAATTGAACTAGAGGTGCTGAATTACAGTGGCTAGCCTCACTATCAGAGGTGCCTGTGGGCTCCAACAGGAAAATTTCGCTGTGATTTTCGAGGCTCACAACAGGAGCACGGAGCATCGGCCGATCAAGTTCTCGACCGATTCAGCCAAAACCAAGCATACCAGCGGAGAGAGCGCATCAAGCCGGTTCAGATTGATGCTTGAAGCAAGGTCATCGGAGCTAAACTGAAGGAGTAATCGCCGATCGCGTGTTTTGGGTACCCACTCTACGAGCAAAAGCCGATCGACGCGAACGAACACGACGACCGAACCAAGAGAGATACAGCTACGGCCGCATACAGGGATCGAAAGAGGACCTATTGCCGCCTATGCCACGACAAGTGCAAGCTCTCAACTCCGAAAATTGAGCGAGATACGACCAATCGAGTCAAACAGTGCTGAAGCGACGGGAAGAACAAGTCCCAGCCAAGCGCCGACAGCTGAAACTCAAGGAAGAAGACTCTCGAGCCTATGAAACTGCTCCAGTAGGTCTATCTAACAACACTACAAGTATCTACAACAAGAAGAAGGCTTCGAGTCGACCGATAGAGTCAATCGGTAGTACACTCCAAGCCAAACGGTGAAATTCGTGAGAACAAGAGCCATCACGACTTCGACGCGCAGATAGGAACAAGCCAAGTTTAAGGCAGGAGCAGTCACAGGAGTGACATATAGACCCACAAGAGGCTACCTGATCAATAGGAAAATAAGAGGAACCCCCTCCAGCTCCACCAGGCGTCCCAAACATCAAGTACACCGTATCCAGTACAAGTCCACGCAGCCAGTAATTCCTCAAGGCAAATAGACCATATCAAGAGCAAGATGACACGATTCAACAACAGAGGAGGCCGTGGCAACAGAGGAGGAGGCAGAGGCTCCTCCGGCAGAGGCCAAGGCGCCGGTAGAGGCGGTGCCAGTGGTGGCGGTAGAGGCAGAGGACAAAGCAACCGCCGCAAGTACCTGTTCCATCCCAATGGACAGGCTGACTCCAGATTTTATCCGTTTACAGAGACATTGAACCACATTGTGGCTACTTTCAGAACCAGGTCAGAGTGGATAGACGTTCCCAAAGCGTCACTGGCCATTGAGACTATGCAAGACCAGACGCCGACAGAGCCAACGGAACCATCCTATACTACGGATGCTGACGGCAAGAAGATATATGACGAGCTCAAGCTAACTCTCTACAAGAACAAGTTGTCTACTTGGCAGAAGCAGGAAACTGAGTACAAGAATGCCCTGCAGAATGGGGCAGCCAGCATCTACCAGTTTTATTGTACCGAACAGATGAAGAGCAAGCTACGAAATCTCCATGACTGGGAGCAGATCAAACTAGACCCCATTAAAGTCCTAGGCAAGATCCGAGGACTGACTGCCGCAGGCACCACCAGAGAGCATCCCGTTGTCCAGTTCGTCAGCCAGTTACAGCGTGCCCTTTCCCCCAAGCAAGAGGAAGGAGAACCGACTGATGTCTTTCTCCGTAGAGTGGCTGCCGACTCGGTTCAGATTACTGACATCGTTGGCACAGGATACATGGATTGTTTCCTTCTGAAGCAGCCCGAGTACGAGAAGATCAAGGATGACCAAGACAAGGTGAAAGAATACCTGAATGACGGACGCAACGAGATCATTGCTCTCATTGGCTACAGAGGGTTATTCCCAGGACGGTATGGCGACTATCAGGCTACCGTGGAGGCGTCTTTGCCATGGATGGCACGAGTATTAATCCACGAGCCCTGAAGCTCTCCGTGAGACCCGTTGATCAACTCTGATCGTTTCAAGCCCAGCAAGGAGTTGTATGAGGCCAGACGTGCCCGTGCGCAAGGCCTCTGGCCAGCCCAAGATGATGGACCCAACCAAGAATGAGTTTGGTGTCAATGCCGGTGTCCTCTATCAGCAGAATAAGCGAGGCGAGTCCTGCTACTGCTGTGGCAATCCAAACCACAAGTTGACGGATTGCAAAGTCCGAGACAAGATCCCCAAGCCCGAGTGTGCGATTAACAAGTTCTAAGGTCTGAAGAAGCAGTTCTTCAAACAGTACCACCAGTTTCGTGAAGCTTCCACGGCTCAGGTCCCACAGACCGTGACCGCAGCCCAGCTTCCACAGACACAGTCTGCGATGAGCCCCGATGCGCAGTCGCACAGTAGTGAGTTCCGACCAAGTTTCAGTCCATTTCCACCAGGATCGATTCATCCACAACTCCAAGCACAACTCCAAGCACACCAAGCGCAAGCCCAGCCATTCCAGCAGTCCCCATCGTCCGCTTCCGCAGCTGGCTCGACACTTCCAGGCGTTTCCAATCCCACAAACAACGAGTTCCATTCCGTCCGCAGTACGACCAAGTAGGGATCCCAGTTCCCGTTCCGAACCAAGATCCAGCCTTAGCCCAAGTACCACAGTCCCAGGCGGAGAAGAGTACCGTTTGCATAGGAGTGGACTGCAGGTTAGATGACGGTTTGAACAAGTGTTACCTGGATAGTTGCAGCTCAATCAATTCAGTGGCCAATATTGCCGTCGGTAAGAATGAAAGAGCAGCCAGACAGCCGATCGATATGCATACAAATGTGGGCAAGGCCGGAATGGACCGAGAGATGGATGCACCCTGGGGATTATCATACAAGAACCCAGGGGGCGTGGCTAATTTTAATGCCCTTGGTATTCCTTCGGATGAGTGCAGAGCAAAGCAAGATGGCTCGAGAGTTTGGATGGGCACCGCATACGATGATGCATGTACCACCTCCGTGGAGACGGTTCCTTTGTTCGATTTGGTAGGACCAAACTCGGTCTGTATGGTACCGGCATCGATGACATCGAGAAACAAATCATGAACTCCTACGAGAATCAGAACTCACCATCCGTTCTTAATCATATGGTCCAGACCGTCGAAAGAAATATAGAAGGCTTCAACAAGAAGCAAGTGAAGGGAACTTTCCAAGCGAGGGAGCACTATGCAAATATCCAGCGACCGCCTTTGGAAGACTTTAAGAATATGATCCGAGCCGGGCAGATCAGCGATTGCCCCGTGATGTAGGAGGATATCAATAATGCTGAGCTGATTTTTGGCAAGGACATGGCCACGATCAAAGGTTCCACTACCCGGAAGCGTCCACCACCAGCTATCGAGAGTGTACATGCAGTCCCTGAAGAGGTGGTGTCCCATCACCGAAAAGGGCTACCAGGTGCCATGAATGTCGTCAATATTTGTGATCTCAACTTTCTCTCCTTAATCGACTTGAAAAGTCGATACAGGCAGATCGTCCTTTTGAAAGATTTGACCACGG